GACCTGGGCCAAGCCCTGCGGGAGGCTGAGGCCGACGGCGCAGCCTGGGCACTGCTGCATGCTCAGGCCGCGCCGCTGCGCGCGGAACTAGCGGAGCGACTCCAGCTGCTGACGCAGGCCGCCTATGTGGGCGAGGCGCGGCGGAGGCTGGAAAGGGTCCGGCGCCGCCGGCTGCGGCTTCGCGAGAGGGCCCGGGAACGCGAGGCCGAGCGGGAGGCGGAGGCCACGCGAGCAGCGGAGCGCGAGCAGGAGATTGATCGCTGGAGAGTCAAGTGCGTGCAGGAGGTGGAGGAGAAGAAGCGGGTAAGAGCAGCGGATGGCCATGGGAGTAGGGGTCACTAGTGGTGTTTGAAATGTGAAGGGGCGTGAAGCCTTGCGCTGCCATTTCCCAGGGCTCAGCCTCTTTTCCTCATATGTAAAATAAAAAGATAGCTTGTCCTTCCAACCTCGTATGTCCATAGTGATTGCGTTTTAATGGTGTATAGTACACAACATAAATGCTCTAGGTGCACTGCAAAGTCCTGTAAACATAAAGTGTGGCGTTGAAGGGATGACAGATCCCCTCTCTCCTGGTCCAACGTTCAGACATTTTGACATTAACATTCAAGACTAACAAGCATCTGGGTCCTTGTGTCTTGTACTGCTCTAGGTGATTTTAAGAATACAAAATATAGAGAACTTGGGGCCTTGCCTCAAAGAACATACACCCTCATGAGCTGATGATGCCATGGTGATGATTTCTCTGGGACTCCTTTGTTCACAAGTTATGAACCGCATATCCCCAGGTTCAACGATGTGTTTTTGAACACTCATTATATACTAGGCACTATCCTAAGGTCTTTACATACACCAGATCTACGATCTTTTAACAACCCTGAGAGGTAGGCATTATTATCCCAATTATACATATTAGGAAGTTAAGGCATAGGGAGGGAGGTTAACCTGCCAACAATCACACAACTTTTTGTGGCAGTTTCATTCCTGATTTGACCCCACGTTGTCTGATTCTAAAGCCTGTTGATCTTAAACTCTTAAATAGTGGCCAGGGTGAAACTGAAAATTGGTCAAATAGTTGTTTAAAACATTATCATTACTTTGAGTGCCTCTAGGCACTTGCCGTCTCTCCACTTTCCAATACCAACTAGTGTTTCCTTCCTCTTCCTCCTCCTTGTGTCTGCTTCCACCCTAGAGTCCGATGTAACTACCCTCTGAAGTGTTTTGATGGCAAGCTTTGGCTTCAAGCCCCTAGAAATATCAGTGCTTTAATGGAAAATACTTGGAGACAAGGTCTTAATCTAAGGGAGCCTGAGTCAGTTCAGACATTTAATGAGGGTCCATTATGTACCAGGACCAGTGCTGAGTGCTAGAGTTGGAGATGAGTAGGACATAGTGCTTGTCCTTGAGGGGCTTAGAGCCCCATGGGGGATCATGTCAGTACAGCATGGTTTGTGTTAGGATTTCAACTGTAGGTGCTATAGGAGGCCAGAAAAGGAATATCTAATCCATTGGGGAAGTGTCAGGAAAGGCATGGATGGTAAGGTGACATCTAAGCTGAGTTGCGAAGGAAATGTCAAAGCCAAGTGAAAGCAATAGGTACAGTTCCAGGCAGAGGGAATAATACATGCAGAAGAGTGAAACAGCACGGTGTGGTTGAAATGGTGGAATTACAGGCACTGATTCGACAGCTTTAGAAAGAGCACTTTAGGCAAAAGCATCCTCTCTACCACCCACAGTGAGGATGTTGGAAACAGAGTCCCTTGAGTAGTGGCTTGAGGAACCAATTATTTAGTCTACATGTGAACCAACTTAAGGCTAGGATGGGGTCTTCCGATGTTTGAAGGCTGTCATGTCAATGAGATCCTTGGCAGTGGAGTTTTAGATTCTCAGAGTTGTAGAGTCCTGGGCCTTTCCAACCCCATTCCTTATCTTCCCTGCTAGCCTCAATCTTTGGGTCCAGGTGTCTGCATTTTTAATGAGAGCCCCAGCTTAACAAGGTAAGTTGGATGCACATGTTCTTTGGACCACACTTTGAGAAACTCTGAGGAAGAAACAGATCAGCATCCACTGGAAGCTGCAGAGAGGATATTCCCTTGGCTGGACTAGTGTAGAGGGAAGTTGCGCACAGCCCAGAAAATTGGCATGTAGATCCGGTAGAGTCTTTCTTAACCCTGGGACTGATCCTCTGAAATCTCACTGCTGGGCAGCTGACCTCTGCTGTAAATTTGTTCCTTATACTAGGTCTCATGGGTCTTTTCTCCTCCAGGAACAGGAACTTAAAGCTGCTGCTGATGGTGTCTTATCTGAAGTGAGGAAGAAACAAGCAGACACCAAAAGAATGGTGGACATTCTTCGGGCCTTGGAGAAATTGAGGAAACTCAGGAAAGAGGCTGCAGCAAGGAAAGGTAACCGTGACTTTGCATTTCTTCTTGCATTTCTTCTTCTGTTCCTTCCCTTTCTTTACCATAGCATCCCCCTTTGCCTCATATTTTTGAAGAAAAATGTTTGATACTTTATTATTTTCACTCAGTAGATTAACTGAGCTTGTCAGCAATACCTGAGAACTTTTGAAGCAGGAACCTCAGAAGATGTTTAGCCCTTGGTAGAGCCAAGGTTGAAAAGAGAGGCAGGTGTGAGAACTCATGCGCTGTCTTCCCCTTGCCTCATCATTCCCTCCTGAGTCATTCCTGACCACATTTTTCTGAGTGAGGTCGACCTGACTGGTCAACTTTACCTATGAGCCAAGGTGAAAGCTATCCTATCCTATCCTTACTGATGCTTCAGAAGGTGTTGAAAACTTGGCATGCTCCTTCAGATACATTTCAAACCTGAAACGATATTTGAAGAGGTATGACTGTTTAGACACTGCAGGGAGTGTGCCCTGCAGACTACTCTCTACCTCACCCCACCCGTACCGGCATGTCATTTTTGTTCTCAGAAAACCTCAGTGGTCTCCTCTTGTCTCGTTTTCTAGAAGTTCCCCAGTTATGTTTTCCAGTTGCCTATCTGGATCTTTGCTTTTGCCAGTCTATTCATCTGGAGGGCCGTCAGTCCCATCTTTGCCGTTTTAAGCTCTCACATCCTTCAAAACCAAATTTAGGTGCAACATCCTCCATCCTTCCCTGCTCTGGGCTGAAGTGACCTCCTGTTCCTTCTCACTTGCACCTGGTTTGGACCATATGCTGCCAGGAGTATTTGAAAGTATGCAAATTAGCAAATAGCAGATGATTTCCCCTGTGTTGTTTAAAATATGAATGAAAACTGATTCAGACCCTTAATAAAGATTAAAGAAGAAATAGATTTAAAAAAAAAAAGCAAACAGTGATTTCAACTTATTAAAAGTTTGCCTGTGAAGAGAAAGAGCATGCACAATGAGTATCTGGCAGTGTGTGTTTGGGGTGGGGTGGGGTGGGGGCAGGAATCATATCTTAGGGTCATGGGAAAAACTTGAGCATGCTTAAATGCTGAGTCAAGGAGTGAGGGAGAAGGGTCCAAAAGAAGCTGAGGGATAGTCGATGGCTCAAGGTCTTGCAGGAGGTAGCAAGATTCCAATCCCAGGTGGAGAGATCAACCTAAGTAGAGAAGGACTCCGCTTCTACTGGAATGAAAATGAAAGAGACAAGAGGATGGGTAGTAACGCAGATGAGTGAAATCAGGGGCAGAAAGTTAGGGGATTTCCTGCCTGGTGGTCTCTCTTCTCTGGGAAATAGATGGTTTGCTCTGAGAGTCAGTGGAAAAGTAGGGCTTTCAGAGAGTAGTGAAATAACTGCTGTGAGGAATGAGTGAGAGCCAAGCAGCGACCCATGGGAGTGTGGCTGAAGGGAGGTTCTACGGGCTCAGCTGATGTAACTATATCCTGGCACCAGGTCACATCATCAAAATGGCTTCTTCCAGGAGTACTCTGCAGCTGTCAGGTGAGCACAGAGTGCAGGCTATTAGAGTTTTGCATTAGGGTGACCACAAGTTTTGCTGAGAACAAGTGGAAAAAAAGTAGAATCTGATACATTGGATTAGAGGTTCTAATGAAGCTGACAGTCTCTAGGGAGAAGGAGGTAAGCATACTAGCAGGGTAGAAAGGTGTAATCACAAAGAGAATAATCAGGTTTAAGACTTCAGAGGTGCAAAGTTTTTTCTAATCATGCAAAGGTTCAAAGACTGTATGAGGCCCCAAGGTGTGGGTGGCCAAAGGAGAATAAAGGCAATTGCTATCTAGGAGCTACAGGAACTAGAGGAGTAAGTGGTAGAGGAGTAAGTGTCAGTACATGGGGTCAAGAGGAAGATTGGGCAGGCAGTGCCATCTCCAAGGGAATGTGTCTAGGTGACCAGGAGTAATGGACAAAAGGTTGAGGGAGATGTGGGTGGGTGGTGCAGACCCAGTAGCCTAAGATTGGGGAAGGCCAGGCCACAGCTCCCTAAGGGGTCTGGAGGCACTTATGGACTGATGAAGTATCTATATATTTTTGCTGTACTGGCAAATTTTAATAGCTGCAACAGAGACTGGATAGCTGACAAGCCTAAGATATTTACTATCTAGCCCTTTGCAGAAAAAGTTTGCCAATCCCTGGTCTAAGTAAAGAAATTAAACAAAACTATGAAATTATTACAGAGCAACATAGTGTCAGCTTAAATTTGTCTTTGCATAAGAATTTTATGTGTATCTGTATTTGGAAAATAATGGCCCAGCAACTTAGTAGAAGATGGATTTGAGTTGTAGAGTTTCCATTTCCAGTTGGGAATAAGTGAATAGAAACCTGTTCAAGCAAAGTAGTCATGAGAAAATTATCTGGAGAAATCTTAGCCTTAGAGGTGAAGATAGGAGAGCAGATTCCATGACCACTTAGCTGCAGTGATCGAGGGAGAAAATAATCAGATCTCCAAGTTAAATAGCTTCACAATAGACAGAATTATCATATTTAAGGAACCATTATTTTGTGCCATTATCAGCCAAAATTGAAAATTTAGTGCTATAAGCTAGATACTGTACTTCACTGGTGGCAACATAAATTGCTAACCCTGGTGAAAATCATTCATTCATTAAAGAAATAAATACTTATTAATTTTTGTGTGTGTGTGTCAAGTGTTAGGTACTGAGTAAATGTATAGCTTTTTAAGGAAACAGTTTAGTACTACATTTAGGTAGTCTTGAAAGTATCCATAAAATGTCCACTTTTGAGAATATGTTATAGAAATGATCTTTAGGAAGGAAAAAAGTAACATGCCCAAGAATATTCAATGTAGTATTCATTATATAGTAACAGGACATTTGAAACAGTCTAAATGTCCAGGAATAGGGAGCTTATTAAGTAAATTATGGTACATTGATTTGATGAAACAGGATAGGGCCACTAAATAATTATAAAGACAAGAAATTGACATGGAGATTTGGAAAGTACACGCATATTATGTTGAACTTACTAATGTGAAGTTGCTAATATATAGATAAAAATGACTAGAAGGTCAACATGGGGAAATAAAAATTGTTGATTATGTTAATGAGACTAAGATTTTCTTCTTTCAGGTATTTGGTATTATTAAAATGCTCCCGTGGGGTAAATGGGGTTAAATATGTGGTGACAGAAAGAAATCTAACTATGGGAGGTGAACATACAATGTAAATAAAGATATGACTTACTGTTAAAATGTACAGCTTAAACTTACTGTATTTCATTAACCAATGTCACTATAAAAAATTTAATTAATTAATGAAAAATGCTTCTGTAATAAATACATTTGCCTTTAAAATCTTCGAGGACTAACAGGATGTACCACACCCACATCACTCTAGGACAAATAGCCTAGCAACTGCAGCAGCTTTTATATTGCAGGGCTGTTGTGGTAGTGAGTACACAACTGCTACCCACTCAAGTATTTGTTAAATTAAAAAAATTTTTCCTGATGAAATTTTATGAAAAATAGAACGCCCAAATAAATTACACATCATTAATTTTGACGCCATTCTCAAGCCTAACACAATTAGTAATAATTCTTTGATATCACGTAATAACTAGTCTGAAATCATATTTTCCCAATTGTAACTCTAGCTATGTTGGCTATACTAGTAGCTGACCTCACAGTTAAATCAGGGTGACCAACCATCCCAGATTTCCCAGAACACTGGGCTCTCAATACTAAAACCAGGCAAAGTGAAACATGTGGTCACCCTACTCTCAGCAGCAGACTCTGTGAGGTCAGTGTGGTTGGTTAAGTGTATTTCTTTGTCACTATCCAAGTGTGCTTTCTCGGAATTTCAGACTCAGTCAGGGGGAGACTGAGGGAATTTCACAATTAAGAAGTATAAGACAGTACCTTCGAACTGAAGGATCAAAACTATTAGAAACGAAATCAAAGGTTAAGTGGTATGCTCCAGAGAGAGGAGTTAGTGAAAGTCAGAGTAGGGTCAAATTAATTAGAGACTCCAAGAGATTAAATTGAGCCTTGAAGATTAATTAGAACAGGGGTCCCCAACCTCCTGGCTACAGACCAGTACCTGTCTGTGGTATGGTAGGAACCAGGCCACACTGCAGGAGGTGAGTGGCGGGTAAGCGACTGAAACTTCATCTGTATTTGCAGCTGTTCCCCCCGACTAGCATCAACGCCTCAGCTCCACCTCACATCATCAGGCATTAGATTTTCATAGGAGTACTGGTCCCTGGTGCCAAAAAGGTTGGAGACCACTAGGTTAGAATCTACTTTGAGTCTGTTCCTTACAACAGGTATTTGGGGTTAAGAACAAGTTATAAATAAAATACCGTTTGGCTCTTTTTGCCCAGGGGTCTGTCCTCCAGCCTCAGCAGATGAGACTTTTGAGCATCATCTTCAGCGACTGAGAAAACTCATTAAAAAACGCTCTGAACTATATGAAGCCGAAGAGAGAGCCCTCAGAGTAATGTTGGAAGGAGAACAAGAGGAAGAGAGGAAAAGAGAACTAGAAAAGAAACAGAGGAAAGAAAAAGAGAAAATTTTACTTCAGAAGCGTGAAATTGAGTCCAAGTTATTTGGAGATCCAGGTAAGTTCCTCTGTAACCAGTACAAAAAGGAAAAATACTAGATTGACAGCTCTTTTCCTCATAGATGATCTCAACCCAAGCTAAGTAGTGGTAGGCAACAAATGACACCTTCAGGATTTGAAATTCTAAACTATATCCTGGAAATCATGGATAAAGATGAAACACATTTAATCATATTGTCATAATCATAGGCTCAGTCACCTTGCCTTGACAAATACACTTTAGATATGAAGCATGGTGAAATCATATTGTACCTTTTCTTTTTCAGATGAGTTCCCACTTGCTCACCTCTTACAGCCTTTCCGACAGTATTACCTCCAAGCTGAGCACTCCCTACCAGCGCTCATCCAGATAAGGTCAGAAGGGCACTGTCCCTGTTGCCTGTATCTTTTTTTTTTTTAAGTTCTTTATGGGTTTATATAAAGTTTCCAAGTTTCAAGGATGCCACATGCTTCTCGTTCAGGCCTCATTAATTCTTGAGAAGTAGATTTTCTGTTTTAACAGGGGAAGAAACTGAAACTCAGGTTGTGACTTGCCCTTTTGTATTATACCATGCTATAGCTGTTGAGTTAAAGCATTGGCTTTTATTTCTTAGTTCTGTTCTGCTAAACAGACCCTCTTTGTATACTTGCCCGTGAAGACTGTTTAAGACGCATGCTGACTTTTGCAAGATCTTACATGTCAAAGACAAGAAAGCTAAGAACAAAGAGTTTCATCTTCATCTGCAGTTACTGATGAGCTGGGTAAACTTTGCAGCTCTCTGAGTCTCACTTTTCTCGCCTATAAAATGAAAATGGTAGACTAGAATGTGGGCTTTAAACTTTAGCAGTAGTGCTCTTCCCAAGTGCAGTCTTAGGACAAATCAGTTTATAAAACAGAATGAATGCTTGGGTTCCGCAGGCATCTTAAATCTGTAATTGACTAGAAACACTTTGTTGTTTCTAGACTCTCCAGATCACCTCGGGGCCTAGGGGTCTTCAAAGTCTGATTCGAGGATCACTGAACTAAATGATCTCTGAGGTTCCTTCCAAAGCTCCAACAGTGCTCTTTAGCGTACTAAGTTTATGTTCTGGGAAAAGTGTATTTCTTGGTACTAAAAAATTTTAGCTTTTAAACATAAGTACAGTCAATTCTTACTATTCACAGTAGCTGTGGACACTGAGTTAGAGAATACTGAATTGCTGCTCATAAAGGAAATATAGGGCCAGATTCCTATGAGCCTCTAGCCACGACATTTTCATCAACTGATCAATACATAACATTGTTTTGTATCTATTTCTTTTTTAAGACACTTAATATATATTGTTGGTTCATTAACATTGAACTCATGGCTAACAGCATGATCATTTATGCCTGAACATGGCTTATCTAACATACATATATTCTCCGGAAGGCATATCACAGCCTTCTCATGCTAGCCAGCACTTCATCACTATACTTGGGGGCCATTTTAAACAGCAAAATTGCCATTAAAATGCACAAAGATGTGGAAAATGTGGTACTAAATAGACTGCATGAAGACACTTATTTATAGTATGAGAGCCGAAAATAAGGCAGAACGTCACCTTGTCCAGTCTCAGTTGCAGATGTGCCTGTTTGGTGACTCAGGTTTTTTCACTGCTCTGTGCATGTCGACAAGTGACCACAAAGGCACTGCAAGTAATGATTTGGGGGTTACAAATGAATTTTAGTGAATAGGTAAATTTATAGATATCTGCAAATAATGAGGATTGACTGTATATTCATTATTTGGTATCTGTAAGGTTATAAATTCTTTGGAATTTTTCCCTTTATATGTACATTTAAGAAATATAGTCTTGCATAATTCTTGAAATGTAGTTCTTTAGTAGATTAATATATCAGTCATTGAAAAGCTAAGTCCCGAAACAGAATATTTAGTTACTGTACATTTTGCTTGGAATGAAACAGCAATAAACAATTGTTCTACAATGTTCTTATTAAGGCATGATTGGGATCAGTACCTGGTGCCATCTGATCATCCTAAAGGCAACTCCGTTCCCCAAGGATGGGTCCTTCCCCCGCTCCCCAGCAACGATATCTGGGCTACCGCCATTAAGCTGCATTAGTGAAGATGCTCCAGGAGTGCAGTCCAGCCAACGCTCTTTCCAGCTCTGAATATTAGTGATACTGCCATCTTCTTGTGCTGTAGACTAAACCACAACCTCTAACTCTGCATGGCATGGCTTTACCCAGAAGTTACATCTTCCTTCTGTGCTCTGTCCTGGCCAGAGGTGCCTCTTGAATCAGGAAATTAATATGGTTCTTCAAAAAAGGACCTAGGTGAACTAGGGTTATTACCACAAGCAATGGCCTTGGTTCACGGAATTTGCCTCTATTTTGAGGGGCTTGGTTCAGAGTGACTTGTTTATTTACTCAGCTTCCTTGTGTGGTGATGGGTAAGTACACTCTATACACTCAAGGTATGCACTGGATAGATTTAACGGTCCTTCCCCCACTACTGAGTGTGAAAGCAAGCTTGATACAAAAACTCCTTACCCTTCTTACCCAAAGAGCCCTCTAACTTCCAGGAACAAGGGTCAAAAATGCTTTATCTGGTTTTGTGAATCCTACTTTTGGTGCAGCTTGAGAGACTATAGGCTACTGGCTGGGCTGCCAGAAAAGCTGGTGCCTAGTCGGTTAGAGAACTTGGAATACCTGAACTTGGAAAACTAAATTGGATCGTGTTTTAATGGATAATGGCTACATATTCCCCATGTTAGAAGGATACTAATGAGTGCATCTGCTTTTTAAGTTCCTAGAGGTCTAATTTAGATCTCCAAGGATAGAAATTTATTTCCCTATGGAAGTGGGACCTTAACCTTTCTCAGTCACATTGTAGGGGCTGGTCTAGATATAGGATATACTTCAGAATACAAGCTCCAAAAACATCCATGTAGTTGAAGCTAGGGAAAAAGCAGATACAAAATTAATAAAATTTATTTTTTATATTCATTAATAAATGCTCTTGTGCTTGGAGATATCAATGATATAACATGTCAGTTTTTTTAAATTTTGTTTTATTTTGCCTTTTGTCATTTATTGTTATTTATATTTCCAAAAAGCTAAATAAATATCATTTTTATTTTTTAGTTTGAGTCTTTGTCCCAAATTGTTGCCTCCCAAATCACTACACACACTTTCACATTGATAAAACACATTTTCACTCCAAAATTCAAATTTATTAAATAGGCATTTGCTACAGGAAAGTGAATCTCAAACACCAACTTTATCTGCAGAATCCAACTCTGGATAAGCAGGAAAGGACGCCATCAACTTTGGAAATGATTTCATGTAATTGGAAGTTCTTGGGTGCAAGATGCTAACACCGTTGTCCCTTTCCATTTAATTTTCACTGTTCAATTTATACAGTATTCATTACAGAGTTAACAGGGATGCGAGCCAGCACTCCTCCAAAGTATATGTCTGAGCTCATAAACCACAAAATCTGATGTGATTAGCCTCACGTAACCCCACAGGCCCGTGTGCCATTTTGTTATAAATCTCTGCCATTTGCTGCCTGATGAGATGCAGGAAGAGTAAAAATAAAAGATTACTTGTACGATGTACATTTGGTGTCCAGACAGCCCTACTACTAAGACTGTATTGATGGGGCAGGGAGTGTGAAGCAGGGACTCAGGAATCAGGCAGCACAACCCAAGAAGGAATTTAACGCCACGTGGAAAAAACCATTTCGTCTTTCCTCTCAGCTTCTGCAGTTTTAATAAAGTGAGCATCATTTTTGTTGTTTGTTTTTTGTTTTGTAAGTTTTTCCTGTTTTGTTGCCTTGTGTAGTGGTGGTGGCAACAGCCACCGGTACTTTATGGATTTAGAAAGACTTATAATTAATTAAAGATACAACTATACTTCTGAGAATATGGACAGTGTCATCGTAATCTTATACCACAGTCTTTTTTATTGTGGGAAATTTCAAACATACTCAAAGAGAATGGTATAATTATTTTACATATACCTATCATCCAGATTCAAATAATTAATATCAACTCAGGGACAATCTTGTTTCATCCGTACCCCTACCACTCACTCTGGATTATTTTGAAGCAAATCTCAGACATCATATGTATAAGTTTTTCAGTATATAGCTCTAAAAGATATTTTAAAAATTTAACCACAGTGCCATATCGCACCTAAGGAAACGAATAACTTAAATGTCATCAAAAGTCCAGTCAGTGTTCAGATTTCCTTATCTCATAAATGTGTGTGTTACACTGTTCAAATTAAGATCTAGATGCAATCTATGCATTATTGTTGGTTGATATATTTGTTGGTTCCAATGATCTATAGGTCTTTTTCTCCTGCTATCTCCTGAGCACTCCCTTTCCCTTGCAACTTATTACTTGAAGAAATCAGGTCATTTTTCTCCTGAAGAGTTCCCAGTCTGGATTTTGCTAATTGCATCCTTGTGACTGCATGTTTCTCTGTTTCTGTATTATAATTGAGCTGTGTTGTCTGAAATGGTAGCCACGTATGGCTATTGGGCAGTTGAAATTCAGAGTTTGACTTGAAATTGAGTTTGAATTGAGATGTACAGTTACATATGTGGCTTACATTTCTCTTGGACAGTGCTGATGTAGAGGCTTGATCACATTTAGATTGGAATTTTCTGGCACGAATATTTCATAGACCTCGTGTGTACTCCAGGAGGATTAATGTCTGGTTGTCTCTTTTTGTGATCCTAACAGCCATTGATTATCAAGACCTGGATTCATTCATTTTGGGTTGAAAAATAGTGATAGCTTAATTCTGCCATTCTTTCCTTAAGTATTAGCTGGAATACTTCTAAAAAGAGAAATATCCCCTCATCAACTATTTGGTTACCCTGGGGTACAATTTGTATAGGAAAGGCAAGAGATAAATATGTAATTTTCTTGATTTACTAGTTTTTAAAATAATGGTTTTCTTGCATCCTCCAAAGGCGACTAGTGAATTTTGTATTCAAGTATTATGAACTTGAATCTAAACATATTTGTCTTTCAACTCATTGTCTTCTTTATTGCTTGCCTCACCTTTAGCCGTGGGAGCCTCTTTAACTTAGCTCCTGAGATTTCACTCATTCACAGTAATTTGTTCCAAGTTTATTTTGCACATTTCCTATCTCAAGCCTGGAAGAGTCATTTTCCAATGATCTTGGTTCCTCTTCAGTGGAAAGGGTATTTATAGGCCACAATCTGCAGAATAGGGGTGCCCATTGTTATTGCTGGTCGTCGTTAGTCAGTTCTTACTCTTTTTCAGTCAGAACTAGGAACTATAGTTCTGTTGAGCCTCCAACCCTCTTCTAAATCGTGACTCTTTTACACCTATGCCTAAATACTCTCTATATTGAACATAAATTAATAGAGAAATAAACATTCAAAGGCTAACCAGAAATGTGTTGATTCATCATGCCATATATGGAAGATTATCTTATTTCCCAGTAGAAGACATCCTAGACTTGTGAGAAACTCAAACAAAAGCATTTACCTTTAAGAAATTAAGTAAATACAGGGAAGAATAGAAAATGAAATAAAGAGATTAGTTACATGTGTTTTTAGAATTTATTAACTGTATTTTTACTTACAGTTGACATTCAATATTATTTTATATTAGTTTCAGGTGTACAGCATATTGGTTAGACATTTATATAATTTATGAAATGATCCCCCCCAATTAGTCTAGTACCCACTGGCACTATATATAGTTATTACAATATTATTGACTGTATTCCCTATGCTATATTTTACATCCCCTTGACTATTTCATAACTACCAGTTTGTACTTCTTAATCCCTTCACCTTTTCACTTATTCCCCCAACCCCCCTTCCATCTGGCAACCGTCAGTTTGTGTTTCTATGAGTGAGATTAGTTATGTGTTAAATGCTAAGAATGATCATCCCAAGTGGCTTGAGTCTATGACGTCAAATACTTTGCTATAAGCCAACCAACTTAATCACTTTAAAACCATTCATGTTCCTGTGTCCACATGACTTTCGTGCAAGGATATATCAAGAAGCTTAGCTGGAATTACACCATCTGTTGAAGCAATTCACTCACTTCTACAAGTTTTGTCCACAGGGAAGATATCCTGGCAATTACAGGGTAAGTACAAAATATGTCTTGTTCCATTCAAATAAATACATAACATATAGAAGGAATGTGAATGCTATGAAGAATTAGCAGTGATACATCTTAAGGGCTAAAGATTACATGAGGCATTTCCAACTAAATCAGTTTTATTTTTAGTGTTTGTAACAAGCTGTTCCCATGTAATTAACTGTTTACTTTGGGTGCATACATACAGCAGTTCCTGACATGCCGCATCTGGCTATCTATGAAGAATTTGTTTCCAATGCAGATTCCATTTGCCTTTTGGAATAAACTGGATTTTCATAGTCTCTGAAGGGAAGATTGAAGTCTTTAAGGCATCTGGTGTTGGAGTGCATAACTGCAGAGCAGGAGACACTTCTCAGCTTTATTAACTCATGCTTGCCAGGATCTGGATACCAGGATTTGAACTTTGTTCTTGGGAAGTGATTTTTATTTACCACTTGCCAGGTACAATCTTAAGTACTAGAGACATAAAAAGGACTCCTGGAATTAGAGTCTAGAATAGAGAAGCTTAATGATTACATGCAAAATAGTCAATGATAAGTGGTAAAAATTGGTAAAGTGGTAATCACCAATTTACATATTTTTATTGTTCAAATATTTATGTCAGATAATTTAGATAATTTGCTAAGTACAAAGCTATCATGGTGAGTAAAAAAACCAAATACTCCCTAATATAGGTTTTGAGGAAGATATAAAAAATGTGCTGAGTGCTTTGAAGGACAGGTATGGCTCTACAAGATTAATTAGGCCTTTTTTTTCTTTAAACTGAGTGTTCTGTAATGCATTTAGGTAAAATAATAGAAAATATGTATCATATAGTAAGGGTAAGAATTATCATTATTCAATTTCCATATGTATGTGCTAGGTCACAAAGTCAAATGTATTTCATAGTATGAGTCACAATAAAAAAAAAAATTCTTGAAAGCCACTGTCCTAGGTGGACCTATATATTTCCAAAATCCTCAAAAACTCTTAACTTCCTCCAGAAGCAAGTGTAGAACTGCGTAGAGAATATCTATTAGTTGGCAGATGCAGGGTCAGAGATGAGGGAGGAGGAGGGTAGCCCTGTACCTGCTCAGTGGGCAGGCAGTTCACACTTGAGTCTCAATAAAACTGGTTCTTCCCATAGCTCAAAATTCTACTGATAGCTGAAAATGTGAATGACAATTCTGCAGATTCCAAAACTTGCTAACCTTCCTGTGTTCCCTATGACCTCCTTTATCTCATAGTTCCCCTGTAAGAACAGGCTAATTGGGCAGATAACTTATTCATCACACTGGTACCTCTCTGATCCTGTAGCATAGAGAGCCACTCCCAACATGCCGGGAGACAGTCTTCAGTCTTGCAGACAGTAAGACACTGACAAGAGAGAGCTGACAGCAGAGATGAGGGAATTAACGGATTTGCTTATCTGGCCTCATTTGACCTCTCTACCCTTAGATTACCTACTCTTCACATGATGCTCTCATATGAGCATGGGGATGACCCCAGTGACCCCTAGCAGCAGGGCTTTGCACCATCCTGGGTGACAGATTATATTAAGCCAGAGGTATTCCCTGGTAAACCTTGATTGTTTGCAAAATGCCAGACTGCAGTTAGGAGTCTAGATTTAGGTATATATTATAGGCAATCATGAGCTTGAATTCTGTGTGAATAAGTACTGTTTTGATTTTTTAAGGTGACAGAATCTTTAATGTGGTTTAAAATACATAAAAAATCAAATCTATGGCTGTTATGAATATTATTAAACTAATGGATACTACATTTGATTTTAGCCAATAGGCTCAGAAGTTATGTGTGAATTAGTTTTTAATTCTTGGATTTCAGCTTTAGTAGATACAGTTAACATACTAATTGACTTTCTCATCAGCAATGCATGAAAGTTCCAGATGTTTTATATCCTTATCAACACTTGATATTGTTAGGCTTTTTAATTTTAACTGTTCATGTGTGTGTGTGTGTGTGTGTGTGTGTGTGTGTGTGTGTGTGTGTGTGTGTGTGTGTAGTGATATCTCATTGTTTTATTTTGCATTGCTATATTGGCTAATGAGATTAAACAACTTATATGTTTACTGGCTATTTGGATATTCTCTTCTGTGAAGTGCCTAATAAAAGCTCTTGTCTATTTTTATACTGGGTCTTTTTCTTATTGATTCGTAGACATTCTTTGTATATATTGGATATGAGTCCTATGTGCTTCTCTCCTATGTGCAAATATCTTCTCTCTGTGATTTTTTTTTTTTACTCTCTTAATGGTATCTTATAATGAATAGAAGTTATTAACTTTAATGTAACCCAAATTATCATATCTTTCTTTCTTGTAACCTGTTTAAGAAATGTGTTCCTATTCTAACACCATGAATATATTCTCCATTTTATTTTCAAGCTTTACCTTTTTGTCTTTCACATTTACTTTTTACCTTTTACATTTAGATCAGCAGTCTACCTGGAATTGATTTTTGCGTATGATGTGAAATAGAGATCAAGATTTTTTTTCCTAGGTAGATAGTCAATTGACCCAAAACCAGTTATTGAAAAGACCTTCATTTTCCTACTGCTCTGCAGGGTAATAAATCAAGGATCCATATATGTGTGGATCTGTTTCTGGACTCTCTTCTCTGTTCTGTTGGCCTCCTCGTGTCAGTACCACACTGTCTTAATTCTTTAAGTATTGATATCTGAAAGTATAAATCTTCCAACTGTGTTGCTGCTTATTCAAGATTGTCTTGGCTTTTCTTGGTCCTTTGCATTTCATGTAAATTTTAGAATTACTTTGCCAATTTACACCAAAAAATGTGATGGAATTTTGACACTTGGAAGCTATAAATCAATTCAGGAAAAATTGATATCCTTGCAATATTAAGGCTTACAATCTATGGGCATGGTTTGTAGCTGGCATATAGAGATATAACTGATTTTCGTGTATTGACTTTGTATCACCTGACCTTGCTAAATTAACTAAGAGTTTCATTCATAGATTATTTTGGGTTTTTGACATATAATTATGTCATATACAAATAATGGTGGTTTTATTTCTTTCTTTCCAATTCTTAAACTTTTATTTTCCCCCTATTTTTTTTTTGCACAGGCTAGTATCGCTAGTACAGAACTGAACAAAAGAGATGATGGGGACATCCTTGTCTCATTTCCAATCTTGGGGATATCTTTCAGTATCTCACCATTAAATGGGATGTTTGCTTTAGATGTTTTAGAGATATTCTTTATTTATTAGGTTAAGGAAATTCTTTTCTATTCCTAAGTTGCTAACAGGGTTTATTTGTTGTTTCTTCAAACCATGGATAAGTATTTATTTTATCAAGCACTTTTTCTGCATCTACAGAAATAATTACATAATTTTTCATTTTCTATTGATATTTATCTTTATTTCCACTGATTGATTTTGGAAAGCCAACCTCTCATTCCTAAAATACGCTCAATCTGGCAGTATTGTATTTTTCTCTCCATAATTATTTTTGTTAAGATTTTTCATGTATGTTCACAAGAGAGCAGCCTCTAATTTTCTTGTCAGGTTTGGTATCAAGGTGATGCTGAAAGCAAATGAGTTAGGAAGTATTCCTTCTTTTCTGGAAGAATTTGTGTATTTTGATATTTCTTCCTAAATGTTTGAGTGAAAACTCATTTGATGCAGGACTTTAGAACTAGAGTTGTAAACTACATTTTAGGGAACAGTAGTCTAGAGCAAGACTTAAACATGAAATAGTCAATTCTTGTCATTTCGAATGTTCTTGTTTTTATTCATTTCCTCCCCCATGCAGCACTGACCACTTCACCTTTTCCTTCCTGGCTGTGTGAGACTCAGCTAAGTCACCCTTTGGGGCCTGCGCCTGGTTCTCAGGATTATACTCTCTCCCTGCCACCAGGCAGCCCACCCCAGCCTGCTCAGCCATCTCCACACTCCTCTGACAGAATGAATGCCCTCGACGGTGTCCCCTTCAAGGTGCCCAAGGGTTTTGTGATAAGCACAGAGCCCCTCCCTGGGCCAGAGCTCAGTGTCCCAGACTGCAGGGAGCTTCTGCTGGGTTCTATGGTAAGTCTGTCTGTCTATCTGTCTGTCTGTCTGTCTGTCTACCTATCTTCTAGTCCCTGGGTCTGTGCGTCTGAGGCTGAGCCTCATGGGATCTTGTTCTTTGATTTTAAAGGACAGCCGGGCCTGCTCTGGTATGTTCTAGGGAGTTTGGAAAAAAACCCAAGAGGAAAAGATATTTCATAAAGAAGGCTGGTTGTCTGGTGATGGAAATTATTTAGTGGATCTTATTTTAGCCTTAGTATAACTGGAAGGCTGACTATATGAAATGATTGAGAGAAATTTCAAGGATACTTCTGTTCCTCTCTTTCCTAACAGCCTGCTATCATGTCTAAAATTCCACCATTAGAATCACTCCTTTGGGCTAAGACACTAGCTCTAGAATCCTCTGTTAAAATGCAGACAGTTACCTGGGACACATTAAAAGGGATTACCATTCCCCAGGCCCCAAGCACGTCTGCCCTGGAAGCATGCTTAAAGCACCCCATGCCTCATGGCACTCACACACTGAGATATGCATCCAGTTCATGTGGTTATATTACATATGGCCTCAGGATAGACATGATTATTTAACTTCCTTGAGAGTCAAGTTTATCTGAAGATTTAGGGGGAATCCATTATATTATAACACAGATGTATCATGGGCAGAATGCAAAATTCTCATGAATTTTTTAAAAAATGAAACAATAAGTTTGCAAAGAACAATGGAATTGGTGTTGGGTCCCTTGATACTGAGTCCTCAAGCTCTTGTGTGCTCGTTCTCTTGTCTGCAGGGTGCTTCATGGGAAGGTTTGAGGATCTAGCTCAGCTCTCACGCATTTGAACATGAGGAGCCTGAGAAAAGAGAACATGAGGAGCCTGAGGCTCAGAGAAAATAAACGATTTGCCCAAAGTTAGTGATAAGACTAAAACCCAGGTCCTGACTCCAGATCATTTTATATTAGCTAAGAGAGGGATTGGAACATAAGAGGCACTGGACAGGTATTGTTTGAAGGTGAAAAAAAAAGGTTACAGAAAGTCAGGAGCAGAGAGCATAGTCCAGTAAGAGAGGCCTGGGGAGGGTAAGGTAGAGGGACTTGAATGGCCTGGGAACACAGGAGCAGGAGACTCTGTGCAGTTTTGGTTTGTCTGCAGAACCTGGAGTTGCAATGAGGCTCCTTAGGACTAAAGTTTCCAGAACTGAAGCTCTGTAAAGTCCAGAGAACAGTGTCCGGGGGCCCACACTTTCTGGGGCAGGAGTTCTCACTCTTCTCAGGCAGCCTATGCTGTGGGCTCTCACTCTGCCAGTAGGGCCTGTGTCATTCGGAAGAGGAACTTGCTTTACTAAGCTCCAGTGGAGGTGGATTATCACAGCTTTCCCCTCCTTGCTGAGCTCTAGCCAAGCTGGGAAGAGGCAATTCTGAAGGTTACTTCTAGTAGCAGAAATGGGCACCGTTTTGCCAAGTCCATGTCTAACGTCCTAGCCAGAGTGCTGACCTGGCTCTGCCTCCTGCTCCCAGGGTGGGCACCTACACTCCCTTGAGCATGTTTCCCATCCTGAGCCTCCATTACTTTTACTGCCATGCCAAACTAACAAATAGAGAAGCATGAGACTCCAAGTATGACTTACAGCCTCTCCTGACCAGTCCTTCAAGTTCACTGGGCTGTATTCCCAGTGTTTAGAACTTGAAATACATTTTCACAAAACAGTAATGTTATACGGTGGTGGTTAGATTACCAGATGAACCTATAGTGACCTGAAGGGAAAAATAATAACAGCTATTATTTATTGAATACATGCTATGCACCAGGCCCGTTCTAGGTGCTCTATATGTTTTCTCTTCTCTCTCATTTTTATGACCCTTTTAGCAACTGGTGTCCCTACCTGACAGCACAGGAAATCAAAACTCCCACCTGAGTGATCCATGGGATCACATGTCTTAGGCTTGTGAGTGACAGCTAGGATTCCAACACCAGTCTGTCAGACTCCAAAGCCCACGCCCCCGCCTCCATCCTGCTCCTTTCCAAGGAGGCTTTCCTTCCATACTTAAGTCCTGGGCAAATCTGTGTTTTGTAGTTTCATGATTTCCCTTTAATTGGAGTTAATTTCTCTTGGTTTTTTTTTTTTGAAGAGAGAAAATACATTCACACAGTTGAAAAACAAAAATGAAATAAAATGGTATATAGAGCAGGGGTTGACATTTTCTGTAAAGGGCCAGATAGTAAATACTCTGGCAATTACTCAACTCTGCTATTGTAGAGAAAGAGCCATAGTATTAGGAAAAGGAGAGAGTGGGCACTTTATTTACAAAAACAAGGTGGGGATCAGTTTGGCCCCCAGGCAGTTTGCCTACCCTGCCACTAACACCTTCTCATCTGCCCTGTTCCCTACCCCCACCCCGTCACTGGTGACTTCTGTTACTCATTTTTTACGTATTCTTATAGAGATTCTTATGTGTGTGTATACAAGCAAATACAGCTATTTCCTCCATTTTTTACACCAAAGGTAGCATTTTATATACACTGTTCTTCTTGATTTTTCACTTAATATATTTTAAGATCTTCTATAGTTGTACATAGAAAGCTTCTTCAGTTTTATTTTTCTCTGCATATTACATGGATACATTGTACTTTATCAACCAAGTCCCCTCTTGAAGAACACTTAGGTTATTCCCAGTTTTTTTGCCATTACAAACAATGCTACAGGAAATGAGTATATGCAAATGTCTTTTTGAATTTGTTTAAATACATTGCCAAATTGCCCTCCATAGGGGTTATACTGATTTACATCTCAACCCGCACTCTACAAGAGGCCTGTACCTCATACACTCCCCAACTGAGTATCATCAAGTTTTGGGTCTTTGCCAAAGGATAGGCAAATAGTATCTCAGTGTTGTTTTATTTGCCTTCTCATATCATGATTGAGGTTGAGCAATTTTTTCTGTAGTCCATCTGTATTCTTTCTCTGTAGGCTTTTCATATTACCTTTTGTCCCTTTTTCTGTTGGGCTGTTAGTCTTTTTCTTTTCCATTTCTAGGCACTCCCTCCATTAATAAAGTTAGTCCTTTGTCTGTGATGTGCTATTTTACCCCTCATTTGTCATCTGTCTTTGACTTTGCTTATGGGGTATATTTGCCATGCAGATTTTGTACATATACCTGTGTGTACTTTTATGGCTTCTGGATTTTGATTGAGTCAGAGTAAGAAAGGCTTTCCCCACTTGAAGTTATAAAGAATTTCTGTCCTGTTTTCTCCTAGTACTTTTATGGTTTCACATCACACATTTGAATCTTTGATCCTTTTGGAATTTATCTGTGTGTATATAATACGAGAATGCATTCAAATTTATTTTCTTGCAGCTAGCTAACACCATTTATTGATTAGTTTCTCTTTTGCCCATTGCTTGAGATGCCATCTTTATTATTTACTAAAGGCCTATTTCTGGACTTTCTATCCTGTACCTTTATCTGTGCCAGTACCAAAGTTTTAATTATTGATATTTTATAATATAATAAAATATAAAACAGCTAGTAGGGCCAGTCCTCTTATTTATCTTTTTGTCTGTAGAGTTTTCCCAGCTATTCTTACTTGTTTTTCATGGAGCAGCTAAATTATGCTCCTTTCCCCAGTGTAGAGTCATGTCCGAGGTGGGAGGGGGCAGCACCTGTGATCTAAGTGCGTCTGTGTCTGTTTTCTGCCTCCCCTTTCCCTCATACACACCACTTCCCTCAGCCTCTTTCTTCCTTAATTGGCCATCATAGAGCATTGAAATTGCCTTTTTAATTTTAAAAATATTTTTAATGGCATTTTATATTTCTGGTTCTTAAATTTAAAGGTAGGCAACAGGAACATTCTATTTTTGCCTCATTTATAAACTCTCAAATTAGATTGTTTATGTGGGCTCCAGATTTCTATTTTAGTGATATGTAGTGGAGAACATAGTACAGTGAGATGGCAGAGGAATCTCAGATCCGCCACTCACCACATATGACCTCCAGCAAATTAAATTTTCTGAGCCTTATTTTCATAATTTGGAAATAGAAATAACATTAGAACCTAATAAGTAGAGTTCAACAAAAGATTAGCAAATCTTCCATTTCCTTGGACCCAAAGTAATCTCAGATGGCAGCAAAGGGAATGGGAGCAGGTATTACTCCTTAGCTGGGTTTATGTTTTATTGGAGAAAGTTTTTACGCTGCTATTGCTCAATTATATACTGACTGGCAAAGGGACTTAGATATTAGATTTCACTATATTTCATTCTATTCACCTATTCCTTATTTTGTCCATTAAATGGTTATTTATATCCATTGACTCGAGCGGTAGCTAAAACCAAGAGTGAGGGTGGGCTGTGATGGCTGCCTGGGGCTCAGAATCCGAAACTGTGCAGGTCGGGCAAGTCTTTGGTCGAGGAGGGTCCCCCAAAACCAGGGGGTAGGGCGGTGCCACAGAGCCCCCTGGTTTGTCTGGCCGAGCCTCACGGTACCTTCTCTCAACAGCACGACTTCAGCTTGGAGAAGAGGACTCTCTTCTGGGTGGAGGCTGCCATCCGGGAACCCTGCCAGTTCCAAAGCGATGCCCCTGGAACAGCGTCGGCCCCTCCCGCCTGGCTCTTGCTGGTCAGCCCAGAAGGCGGGCTACTGCCTGCACTTGCCACAGCCAAAGGCCTGGAGGCGCGACCCCAGGAGCTGTCCGAGGAAGAAAAGGAGGAGGAAGAGGAGGAAGAAGAGGAAGACGCCTCTTCTGTCAGCGAGGAAACGCTGGGTCCTTGCAGCCCCCAACCCAGCGCCCCAGAGAGCCCCAGCCCGGGCCATCACCGGTACTCACTGGACGTGCTGCGCGGGGTGAGGTCAGAGCTGGCAGGGGCGCGGCGGAGGCTCTCGGAGGGCAGGATGGCCGCCCACCCCCGCGCCTTCCTGCAGCGCATCCGCCACCGGGCGCTGAGCCTCTGCACCAGCCAGGCGCTGCCCCGGAGCCCCACGCCCCCGCTCCCCAGTGCACCCACGCCGCCCCCGAGGCCCTCCACGGCCGGCGCCATGCCCCCGCTGCGGAGCCACAAGCCCACGGTCCCGGTAAGCAACCTGCCCGTTCAGCCAAGGCTGCAGCTCAGCAGCAAGGCCCCCAAAGTCTGGTCCCCAGCCAGGTCCAGAGTCTCAGTCCCCTCCTCTCCGCGTTCCTACTCCCTACCTTCACCTGCTCTCACCTGGTTCTATACCACGCTGTTCTAACTGTGGCCCTTTGCCAGAATATTCCCTGCTCAGAGAGTCCCAATTCCTTCTGTTTTCTCGTTGCCTGCGTTGCCTCTGTTAGGGCGCAAGTCACATAATTGTAATTATCCCGTACCTGCCTGTCCTCTGCCAGTGGAATATGAGTTCTTTAAGGCAGGGATTAGATCGCATTCATTTTTGTTTCCAGAGCACCTAGAAGCAAACTTGGCCCATAGGGGGTGCTCAATGAATGTCTGTTGAATTAATGAATATGACTCAAATCTAGGGCTTCCCAGAGGGCGGAGCTTGCTGTTAAATGGGTGAGCTGAAGGCTCAGTCAAGGAATAGTTTACTGTATGTTAATTCCTGCCAGACACTGGGTTGGAAAAGACAAGGTCAAAACCACAGGACTAGGAGAGTTAGCAAGGGGGCGTGGAACAAGGCAGCCCTGTAGCAGCACTCCATCAGGTGTTGAGAGAGAAGTGAGGGTTGCTGCAGACTGGGAAGGCTTCAGGACAGAGGACATACACTCAGAAGAACTGGGAGCAGAAGTGAACTTATCATGAAACCAGTGAAACTTAAGCCTCAGTTGGAGGCCTTGTACCTAATTTTATATTCATAATTGTGTCTTTTTTCTTTAAGAGATCTAAACTGTTTAAGTATCAAACTCCACAAAACCTGGTTCCAGAGCAGATGGATTTGTCAGGATTGATAGCAGGAGGTAGCAATTGGGCTCAGCTTTTTGCCCTGCAGCAGCCTCCACAGTGGGGCCAGGAAGTGCAAAAGAATAAGGCCAAAATGAAATTAAATCCAAAAGAAACTTGAGGTCTGGCTTTTCCCATTCGCTGGTGTGTGAATGGCAAGTCACTGAAGTGCTCTGAGCCATTCCTTCTCTACCCGTAAAGTGAGCCAGCAACCACCCCACAGGAGCAAACAGAGCACAGGCTCTGTGAATGGGACCGGCCATGCCCACATCAACCATCAGATGTTGATACCAAGATGGCTCTTCCCTGGTCCAGATTACATTTAACTCCACCAACAACCCTGTGTGTTGGGGGTGGGATAGGGGTGCTGGTTTGGGGCGATGTTCTGTAGAGGAGGAAATTGAGGCAGAGAGTAGCTGAGAACCTTTTTCAAGGTCACAAGAGTAGGCTCAGATCCTAAGATTTGGATATTTTCCTCTTCGCAGACCCAAGGATGAGGTCATGGCAGGGAACCCGTGAGCAGATGGGGAAGGGTGGGAAATTCATATGTCACACACAGATGCACTCTGCCCCAGGAGCTAGGGCAGCAGCTGGGCTTTCCTTATGGAGGAGAGGACAAGGCAGTGTGTTCAGGGTGGGCAGATGGGTGCTTCTTCATGAAGGAAGAGTTAGAGGTGTTGCTGGCCACATCAATTAAAATGCCTTGAAGCCACCTACCTTAGCCCAGGGTATGTGTGAGTCTCCCCAGCACCATGACTATGCCCAGTCTCTACATTGCTCCATGCCCCGCCAAGCCTCAGCCCAGCCAAATTCAAGAAGGAGGGCCTGACTGAGAAGATCCCACTAAGGTGTGGGTAAAGAACCCTCCATTTGACTCTAAGTAGGGTTCAGGTCCCAAATGTGTGTTGCTAACCAGGTCATTAACTTCTCCGAACCTTGATTTCAATATCTGTAACGGAGGATAATAGGACGGACCCATCATGTTTCTCTTGCAGGGTTGTTCTAAGTAATAGATGACATATCATCATGTACTGGCAATTTTTGTATTCCAGGCCCTTTGCTAATTACTTTTCTCACACTGTCTTATTTAAGCCTTGTAACAAATCTTGGGGTATCTAGTATGACTGCCTGTTTTACACATGAGTAAACCAAGTAAAAAGTAGAGAGCTGGGATTTGAACCCAGGTCTGTAGGACTGCAAACTCTCCACAGTATTAGCCTCTACACTCTGTGGCACACAAAAGTACTTTTAAAAATGTCCTGCCCAGCCAAGTGTTGCCTCCGGTGGTAACTGACACATCAACTTGTCTTTATTTCAGTCCCTCAGTCCATACACCTGCCTGCCACCTCTTGAGCAGGCGCCCCAGCCTCTCATGGCCCACAGATCACACCCTGATTCTGATGACCTCCTATCCGCTCTCAGCCAAGAGGAGCAAGACCTCATCGGGCCAGTGGTCGCCCTGGGGTATCCCATGCATAGGGCCATCGCGGCTCTGCAGAAGACAGGGCGGCAGAGCCTGAGCCAGGTGAGTAATTGTCCAGAGCTGGCGGACTGTGGAACTGGAGCCAGGTGAGTGAGGGTTTAGAGCTGCGAGTTGTGGAGCTGGTGCCAGGTGAGTGGCCATGTGATTTGACCTTTAACTTGAAGAAATTTCCTTCTCTTTAGAAGCAGAATCTCAGTCTTGTATTAATTATTGGGGGTTGTGAGCAAGTTTCTAGACCTAATGCTACCTTCTCCGTAGGAGTTTATCAAGAACCCCCATACCCACTTGGGGAGTCTCAATATTCACTCCTATCCTTGTCTCTGCCCCAGATAAAGGGGGCTGGAGCTTTGGGCAGCCAAGAATCTCTCCACAGCTGCCCAGTAGAACTTTCTGCAATGAGATATTTTATACCTGTATTAAAAATATAGTATCCAAGAGCTATATGTTTGAAATGTGGCTACTGTGACTGAGAATTTTATTTAATTGTAATTAATTAAAATAGCTATGTATGGCTACTGGCTACCATACTGGATGGTGCAGCTCTAACCATCCCTCAGTAAATAGTTCACCCATACCCATTTCCACCTGTCTTTCCATCCACCCATCAATCCATCTAGTCAACAGTATTTATTGGGCATTTCCAGAGTATTTAGGTGCAGTTAGTTGCTACGGCGAAAACCAAGGTACATAAAAACCACTGTTGTAGGTTGGCTTCCTGAGGAAGCAGACATAGATGGAGTTTGACATGTAGGATAGTTATTAAGGAGGCCCTTGGGATCAACTCTGGAGAAGGAAGTAGACAGAAGCAGGAGTGGGTAGTTGGGGAAGTTGAGCTTTGTAGACCCAACAACGGAGTCAGCCAACCCCACAGCTCTGGAGCACACATGACCCTTCAGAGTTATCCTAAGTCGGGCTGCCTACCCTTCCTAGACTGTGTAAGAGGGCTTGGCTGGATGGTTTTTCTGCATGTGCTCAGAGCAGGGTCTAGGTGTCTTGGGGCAGGCAATTGGAAAGTTGAGAAGCTAAAACAGTTTGAAAACCATTAGCCTATATTATCCATGCCTTCTGCCCAGCTCTGAAAGTCTGCAGAAACCCAACCTGTTTCTTCTCCACTTATACTCATAATTCTTATAGTCTGGAGCCTTCATTTGGCACTGATTCCCTATAAATCGTGCTTTGATTTGCCTGGCACTCACCATTTCCCATATCTGGTTTATGTCCGCCACTGAGCAGTGAGCTCCTTAAAGGTGGTTCTTAATTCACTTTATAAATACAGCATGTATTTATCGAGCCCCTTCTGCCTGCCATGCTGGGTGCTGGGGACACAGTAGGGAACAAGACTGACACAACCCTTCCCTCATGGAACAAAAACTTAGTGGGTGAGAAAGATGAGAAAGACAGCAATTACAAAGTTGTATGTGCTGTGGTAGGGGAAGCACGGGGTGCTGTGGGAGCTCCAGGCCTGGCACCATGGAAATAGGGGACAGAGAAGGTCCCCAAGGAAGAGGAGGAAGCTTAGCATTGGTGGGGGAGCGGATATGCAGAGACCTAGGGGGCTGGAGAAGGAGCTGAGGCAATTGATACTGGCAGGAGCAGGGCTTTGAGCTTTGGCTAGAGGCAGCTCTTCATCCTGAGGGCAAAAGGAGCCCCTGATGACTAAGCACGGAGTGACCTGACAAATTTTCAGCCCTGTGGGATCATCCTCAGTCCCCTCCCCTTTCCAGCACTGGTGCAGAACTGTTGCAAAGTAGGGGCTCATGGAGTCCTGGGTGGCAGAGATGTGTCTGGGAGTGGGGTGGGGTGTGGGTGCACAGGTATAAGAAATCACCTTCACATAGGTGAATGCTCACCATGGAGAATGAGCAGGCTGGGGTGGGCGGTGGGCGAGATGCCTGTGTTTCAGGCCTGTCCCACCCGCTTTGGGTTCTGGGAACCTTAGCTCCAGACCTTTTCTTAGATTCCAGCCCCCAGTTTGGGACACTTGGTAAGGACTTGTTGTCCACCTGTCTGCAAGTCCCTAGAGGAGGCCTCTGTCCCTGTTCTATTGGCTCACGGGCTTTCTGGGCTATGTTGTGTGTCATGGCTTGCCTAGTCAGTCTGGCTTGAGCCCAGGACTTAATGAGGTCCTCAGGGTGCCTACTCTACCCCATCTGCTGCCCCTACCACTCCTCTTACCACTCCTCCTTCTTTGCCTCTTTCTGGCCCAGTTTCTCAGCTACCTTAGTGCCTGTGACCGTTTGCTGTGGCAGGGCTACGAGGAAGGCCTGGTGGAGGAGGCCATGGAGATGTTCCAGTTCTCTGAGAGCCAGGTCAGCAGGGCCACCTGCCTGGGCCCCAGGGGAGGGAAGGGATGGAAGTACACATAAAAGCCTGGCGTGCGGGGGCACACAGTGCCAGAGCCAGCCTGGGTGCCATAAGGAAATAGCCTGCTTGCTCAGCCCTAGGGAGGAGGAGACAGCCCAGGGAGATGAAGCATGGGAAGGTAAGGGGAAAAGGTAGGGAGGGAAACTGGAAGCAAGTTTTTTGTGATATTTAACCGAATCAGCACAAGTATTATTGAATGCCTGCTCTTTTCTTTGTTAGACACTCAGATAAGAGCCGTAGGCAGCACAAAGATGCTTGAACTCTCTGCTCAAGGAATTTCACCTACCTGGAACCCAGAATATAGGCAGCTGTGGGCTCAGTAGTACATTCTGAGTGTCCAATGAATATGGCTTGTTCATAATCAGCAGCTGGTCCAGGCTCACTGAGTAGCTCCTTACAGAAGCTGAGGGAGGGATACAGAGGGGCAGGAGAGATACAGAGAAAGATAGAGGGAAGAGAAGCAGGGAAGTTTCAAGCACTTGGGCTAGAAGAGGAAGGAAGGCAGAGGCTGTGCTATATGAAATCTCGGCAGGTTTGAGACCTGGGCGGAGACCCCAAAGTGTGCATCCTCTGTGCACCAGTATTTGGCCTTCCTCTTCCTGACCCAGCGCCCAAGCACATGCAGTCAGGAGTGAGCTAGAGTTGGGGAGTAAAGCCAGGACCAAGCTGGTGGCCAGGCTGGGCCCACTTTCCTTGGCACAGGAAGGGAGGTCTGAGCCTTCACCCCAGAGGTCCAGAGAAAATACAGGTGCTGCCCAGAATCAGGCTCACCTGGCCTGAGGGGGCCACAGCTTTCTGGGAGTAGATACAGAGGGCAGCAGAGAAGGGGCTCCCCAGGGTGGAGGCCAAGCCTGCAGAGTGCATTCAGTGCTCTCTTTGCCTCTCCTTCCTCAGGCAGGGGAGTTCCTGCGCCTCTGGGAACAGTTCAGTGATATGGGCTTCCAGCAGGACCGGATCAAAGAAGTGCTGCTGGTCCATGGCAATCGCCGAGAGCAAGCCTTGGAGGAGCTGGTGGCCTGCGCCCAGTAACCACTGGGACACTCTGCAGTGCCCAGGCATGCCAGGCCTGTGCTAGACCTGGCAATCCATTCTAACAGTAGACCACATAAGAACAACAAAGTGATGCTCATTGTAACAATGCAAACAATGCCAAGAGTGGGAGCAAATACTATAGGGGAGGCAAAACTTTACCCATCTTAGGTTTTCAGCTGGACCAATTAACAAGAGAAAAACAGTTTATTAATGCATGCAGCATACATCGTGCAGGAGAAACCTCAATGAAAAGTAACTCAAAGCAGTGGTTTATATAGTATCTTCAACAAAGAACAAATATGTAGAGAGATAACAGGACAAAAGAAATCGGTTTTAGGCTTCCAAGGATGGCACACTGTTGGAAGGTAAATATATGGGAAGGAACTAATGGAATAAGGTTTGTTTGCAGATTCCTCTGGTGCATCTCTGGGAGGATAAGAACCTACCTTCAGAAAAGGAGAATTTATATCCTGCCTTTAGACAGAAAGTGGGGAAAGGTAGGGAGAGCTTTTCCTACATTTGCTGCTGCTTAATTGCCTTCAGCTGAAAGTAATTTTTATGTCAAAGAGGCATATTTTGGGGTGACATTCTGGTTTCCTTCAATACCAAATGAATCAGCTAAAAGAACTGAAAGTGGCTGCCTATAAGGAGGGGCAGATGGGGGAGCATGAACAAAGAGCTGTATTCTTTCATGCAAGCCTTCTTAAACTACTTGTATTTAACTCTTTAAGCTGTGTTTATTAGTAACTTTGATTTTAAGAAAATAAAACAAAAAAATGATGGGCAATTCTTTGGGGTCCTGTAGGCTTCTGGTCTTAGTATGAAAAGAACATCTAACTGTGGGTCCAATGATCTCATTTCTGATTTTGGTTCTGTTGATGACTGGCTTAAGACCTCTTTGGGCCTCAGTTTCCCCAAGAAAAGTAGAGAGTTTGGACCTGGCTGCTATTCATAAGAATCCCGGGAGGAGTTGATTAAACAGTCCCAGGCTTCGCTCCTGGATAATCTGACTCAGAAAGGTCAACTTGGCAGCCTCTAGGAATCTGTTTTGTTTTTGTAAGAAGCTCTCTGGGGATTCTTCTTTTAAAATCTTTTTTATTTGCTTATTGTTGTTGATCCCCTTTACCCATTTCTCTCAACCCCCACCCCCAGCTCTGGCAGCCACTAATCTGTTCCTTGTATCTATGAGCTTGCTTTTTGTTTTTTTATTTTAAATTCACATATGAGATCATACGGTATTTGTCCTTCTCTGTCTGACTTATTTTACTTAATTAACATAATGCCTTTGAGGTCCATCCATGTTGTCACAAATGGCAAGATTTCATTCTTTTTATAGCTGAATAATATTACTGTATATATAATCACAATTTCTTTATCCATTCACCTATCGATGGACACTTAGGTTGTTTCTGTATCTTAGCTATTATAAATAATCTAGAAGTGGAATTGCTGGATCATTTGGTAGCTCAATTTTTAATTTTTTGAGGAACCTCCATAATGTTTTGAACAGTGGCTACACCAACTTATATTCCCACCAACTGTGTACAAGGGTTCCCTTTTCTCCACATCCTTGCTGACACTTATTTGTCTTTTTGATAATAGCCATTCTGACAGAGGGTGGTTTTGATTTACATTTCCTTGATGATTAGTGATGTTGAGCATCTTTTCATGTACCTGTTGGGCATCTGTATGTCCTCTTTAGAAAAATGTCTACAAAGATCTGCCTCTTTTTAAAATCAAATTTATTTATTTCAAATATACTCTCCCATTTTGTACATTGTCTTCATGTTGATGATGGTTTCTTTAATTGTGCATAGCTTTTTAGTTGATATAGTCCCACTCATTTATTTTTGTTTTTGTTGCTTTTGCTTTTGGTGTCATATCTAAAATATCATTGCCAAGACCTATGTCAAGGAGCTTACTGCCTATGTTTTCTTCTAGGAGTTTTATGGCTTCAGGCCTTACATTCAAGTCTTTAATCTATTTTGAGTTAACTTTTGTGTTAACTCAAAATAGATTATACTCAATGGTTGACTTTCATTCTTTTGCATGTGGCCGTCCAGTTTCCCCAGAACTGTTTATTGAAGACTGTCCTTTTCCAATCATATATTCTTGGCTCTTTTGTCATAAATTAATTGACCCATCATATATTCTTGGCTCTTTTGTCATAAAAAAAAATGCCGGGGTTGATTTCTGGGCTCTCTGTTCTGTACCATCGATCTAAGTGTTTTTATAAAATGTCGGGGTTGATTTCTGAGCTCTCTGTTCTGTACCATCGATCTAAGTGTTTTTATGCCAATATTTCTGGGGATTCTTATTCAATGTAATGGGCCTATGGCCAGTATGTGTGACCCTCAGGGCCAGCTGATCTGGACCCCCTTCTGCTCTGACGATCTGTGGTCCTATGTCAGTCTGTCCTCATCTGGGGAATGGACAGGTTGGGAACAGTTGTGTCCAGTCACCCAAGGCCTACCCTCTGGAGGGCCCCAGGGACTGAGAGGACCAGTTGTTGTTGCCTGTGATTCAGGCAAACAGAGGTCAGAAGCCAAGACACCTGTGCCCTGCCCTTCCCAGCTGGTCCTGTGCAAAGGCCTGCAGCATTTACAACAGAATCAAGAGTTCTCACCCACTCTACCCAGCAAACATGGCTGGACCTGAAGCTGAGGCCTGTAAAAAAACAAAATCTTCCACATTTCTCATAGCTCCAACCCAGAAACCTTGTTTGAACGTGTAGTGAGTACTTCTGCAGGCCTACACAGGCCTAAACAGCAAGTTTGGAGATAGAACCCAGATTTCTTGAGGCCCATCCAGCCCCTGGGTACTTTCCACTAAGTCTTGATGCCTGCCAACTTGAAATCACATCAAAAATATTCTTTAGTCTTAAAACTTGCTTTGAATAACTTGTAGTTATTCAGAATGAAAAACTATTTGAGAAAATCAGCAAAATATCATAAAGTTGGTAAAAAATAAAACTGCTCTTGGAAAAGATAGTAAAGTTCAAGTCTGATTTCTAAGATGAAATATTAAATCCAAAGCAATCTGGTCTCGGTCTGCTACTTTATTAAGTCTCCTTAATTAGTAGTGTCCAGTCGACAGGCCCCTCACTCATATCGCATGTCCTTATGCCACTCCTCCTATCCTTCTCCCACCTGCCCCAAACTTCTCCATCCCTGGAAAACTAGTGCCTGGTTAAAAAAAATGAGACATTAAGACATTATTGTTAGTTTAAAACATTTTTAGAAGTTAGAACAGTGTGGTAGTTAAAAGCATGGACTCTGAAGTCAGACCTGGACTGAAACTACAGTCTTATCATGAACTAACTGTGACCTTTTGAAATTCACACAATCTCTCTGTGCCTCAGTTCCTTATTTATAAAATATGGATACTGAAACTTCTCGACTGGGATGATTGAACAGGATATCACACAGGAAGCTTGTGGCATGGTGTCTAGTAGCTACTTATTTATAGATATTTATACCCCGCCTTGTTCTATAATCAGTACTACCTTTATTCTGGTCATCTTCCTCATCACTGTTACGGTTAACAAATTTCCAGCATTTACAATCTCTCCCCATCTCTGGTCAGAGAGTTTAAGAAGGTAGCTGGAGCAGACGACTCTGGTAGTGCCACCTGGGAGAAGGACAAGCTCTATAGCTAACACAAAGGGTCAGGTAGGTGCATTGGTGGCCCCTTGAAATAGCAGATGACATACTCAGCTCCCTGAAGGCAGAGTCTAGACAAGATGACCCTTGGAGAGGAAGCCAGGAGGATATAGTGTAGCTGGGGCACCAGATGGTGAACCAAGGCCCAGCCCAAGGATGCAGAATGAAACAAGTTTTGCCTTGGTTCTTGCTCTCACTTCCGTTCTCTTATGTTCTGTCTTCTCTTCTGCGTCTTCACTGTGTTCCCTCTTAGGCCCAGTGCCAGCAGGTTGAAGAAGGCCTCCTGACTCCAATGGGGGTGTTGTGAGGCGTGCCTCAGACTATTTCAGGCTGAAATCTCAAGTTCTTGCTGTGTTCCTTTCCCAGGGAAATGTGCACATTGCCCTCTATCTGGCTGACCCTTCTGCCACCTTCATGTAAGGACCTTTGTGATTCTGTCAGGCACACATGGATAATCCAGGATAATCTTCCATCTCAAAATCCTGAATTGCATCTGCAAAGTCCCTTTTACCATGTAAAATAACATGATTCCAGGGATTAGGACGTAGACATTTTCAGGGGGCCATTATCCAGCCTACCACAGAGGGGCAATGCTTGACCCAAAATAACATACTAATGATGGAATTTCAGGCAATCATATAAGGGAGTTTTGTTGTGTTTCGTATTATTCTTTATACAAGTGGCATTTCTATTTTAGAGCAGAATGACAGTGGAGCAGGCCTCACCCAGAGAAGTCAGAGTCTTAGGCAAGGCTGGACCCTCCCCAGGCTCAAGCTGACACAGCTGGCTCCGCTTCTCTCTCGCCTCTGCTAGGAGCCTCTGGGGCTCTGGCTTCAACTTGAGTCAATCTCCTCCTGCAGTTGACCACATTCTCCTGGTACCAGGAGCCAGGCCAGCGGAGGGGCTGCCAGAGCCTCCTCTCGGCCCTGACCCTTCCACTCTGAGGACAGTGGAGAGGGTCGCACCCTCAGGTCACAGTTGAAAAGTCAGGAGCTTCCTCTTCTAGGACCCTTCTCCCCTCTCCGCCCGCTACCTTCCATGCTTCCTCCCAGCCCCTGACCTCTAGCTGCCCTGTCTGCCTGTCTTATCTGGTGATTAGAGCATTCTTTTGTCGGCCCCTGTAGGGAACATGCTTTGCCTTTTAAGAGGATTTAGGGAGAGGACAATGATTAACTCATGAGTGACTCATAAATGATGGGGTTTTAGGCCCAGTAAGAGATAGCAAAGGGAAGGAGTGACCATCCCAACTTTTCCTCTCATCTGACCATCCCTGCTGTCTCTAGGTAAGACTTGCCACCAGGAGGATTTGGGCCTTTGGGGAGCTCTGGAATGTCTTTTCTAATGAGGTTTGGGGGAGGTGTCTGGAGCCCCTCCCTCAGTATAGAGACCTCCCGGTTTCTCACCTCTCCTCACCCTTAGATCCTAAGGGCCAGGGCTTTGTTCCCAGACATGGTATGGTCAGAGGAATGCTTTGACAACCAGGACTCTCCCAGAAACTCTCTCCCTTATACACACACACTGCTGCTGTCCTTAAAGGGAGTAAAAACTCTGATAGAGGCATTATCTGGAGTTTTGGAGTGTGCTTGCCTTCATGCCGAGGACAAGGGTGATCCTGAATGGGGCAAGAATGGATTGCTCAGCTCTAATCAAGGCAGTGTCCACTCAACCACCAAATCCTTTGTTAAGCACCTACTGTGCACTCAACCTTGCGCTGGACCCTTTGAGAAGGAGCTGCCCCTGTGTTCCAGGTGCTACAGCCCAGTTGATGAGCCACAACTACCACCAATAAACTATTCACTTACTAATTTTTCCACCCAGCAAAACTTTATTGCACACCAGCTGGGCGCCAGGCCCTGCTGGGTCCAGGAGTGGGGAAAGGTGGGAAGAAGGATAAGAAATGGCCTGTCCTGGAGTGGAGGGGTTCCCAGTGCTAGGCTGGGTTTGTGAGTTAGCATGGCAAGTGGCTAAAAGCAGGTCAGTGCCTGTGCTGGTGATAATGGCAGTGAAGGCAGGAGGACAGGCGGGCTTTGGCCCAACAAGGGCCTATGAGGTGGCGCTTTGCCAACTCCCCCTGTGGAACTGGGTCCTGGCCAGCACCCCTGCTGGCTCCACTCCCAGGCCAGCA